CAGGATTTCCAGATTTGTTCCATAGTAACTATGACGCTGCACAGTATGCACTCTGAAACGTTATGCAAGTTTTGCATTTGACCTTAAGGAGCGACCCGACAGAAGATTCACAGGTTCCTATATGTTTTCTTTGTGTAGTCTAGCTTTTGTTTCTCTCGGGCTCTCAGTCACTAGTTGGAGTGAGTATTTCTAAGCAATCAACTTCAAGACACCTTTACAAAAAAATCCCATGGTCTTTGTAGTTATGTAGTAGTATGTCCTTAATACTATAAATAAATGCAAAAAATGGAAAAAGTACTAGTGTATGTATTTCCCTTCTGGGGAGACCCATCTGGTTACACGCTGATACAGCTCACCTGCATAACAGCACTTCTGAAACTGAGATTAGAGATGGGCTGATACAAAGCACAAATTTCACTAGATCTTTTAAGAGAGCCTACAGTCTCTCGATAGGAAATTAAAATGCGTGTCAAATAGCAAACTGAAATCAATTAGCTTGTGCTTAAGATGTTAGCTGGAATAAAACACAGAAGATACAGTGGTCCCTTAGGACCTGGGTTGGGAACCAGTGGCTGCTGTTACAACTCCTCTGTGAGGATTCAAATGCCTACAAATGTTGCTGTAGATATATGTATTGAAGTAGATAAACATTGGAGAGCAACTTCGACACCCTGTAGCCTGATCTCCTCAGATCTCACAAACTATACAAGGCGAGGCAGGGTCAGTACTGGGACAGGAGACCTAAAATGACACTCAGATTTCTGATGGAGCTGTTGTTGCTACATTTTCACAGCACAACATTTCCAGTCCCAGTGCGGTGGAAGGAGCTGTAGGGGATGTTGCCCTTTGTAAGAAACGTCAAACTGGCATCCTGACATGCTGGTCAATAAAGATCCCATGCGACCGGTCAGAAGAGTAGTCTGGACAATGGGGTCAACACCTCTCAGTTCTTCCATGGACTTACATACTGTGGCCTCTGCCTAAATTTCCTCCCTTAACTGATCTGCTGTATAGTGAGACTGCAGCACATAATGGTACCAACTACACTTCAGTGGTGAACTGTGGGTTTTCTCTTATATGTAAACTGCTGTGGGACACTGTGGGATCCAAAGCAATATACATAAGGAATAATTATTACTTATTTGGTA